CTGTAGTTGCTCCTGTCAGTGCACAAGTTGGTGCTTCTAAATTAGTTGTTGCTGCTGTTGCTGATGATGCTGAAGCTGTGAATGCTCAAGAATATCCAATTGTGCTTAAGAGAAAAGGAGATGCTGAAAATGAGAGTTGTATTCCAAAGAAGCGTAAAGTGCAACCATCGTTGCAGATAAGATCTCCTTTTAAGTCTCGGATTATCAACATATATATACCATTAACAGCAGTTCAGAAAGGTGTTATGGATTCATTTTTTCATGAGAAGAAAAACCGTTTGTAAGTATTTATTCAATTTTTTCAGTTCTGGAAATTTTGGCAACTGACTTTATTTTCCTTACTTATAACAAGTCTAGCTCTATATTCTCACTTTACATATCTACGATTAAAATTATTTTAACTTCCCTAAATCTTATATGTAGTGATGCAGGGTTTTTATGCGAGGGTGAGCCTGATACTGAAGTAATGCTATTTCAACTTGAAATGCTAAAAACTCAGAGCAAAGTTCATGGCGATATCATTAATGCATGGTCTACTGTTCTGAATTTTAATGAGCAATATAGAGATATCAATTCTAGTGGACGTTTCTTTTTCGGTATTAATGCAGTTGTAAGTTCAACTCGTTCATTTTATTTTGTTTTATTTTGTTCATGTTCACTTTGCTCATTTCATATAATTTTTTTATATTTGAATGTAGATGTTGTTTTGTATTTGCAAAAACTATTATTAGTTCTTTGCTCATTTGTCAAATGAGCAAACTATTCAATGCTCATTTGTTAAATATTCTTGCTCATTTGTCAAATGAGCAAAAAATAAATACTGAACTAATTCAAGTCTCTTATTGGATACTAAATAACATAAAATCTTTTGATAAAATATTTGAAATACAGAACTAATTTAAGAAACTTGCCTATTATAGTTATCTTCAAGGCATAATCATGTCATGGTTGTTTGTTTGCACTTTGTAGTGTATTGTCTTGCGTTTTCTCATTTATAAAATGAGTAATTAATTTTTGCTCATTTGTCAAATGAGAAATTAATTTTGATAACAATATAAATTCTGACTTCCTTTGTCCAAAAAGTAGCCGATTTAAGAAATTGATCAATGTCCCTAGCAAATAGAAATAAATGATGTGTTATGAACTTCTAATAAAAATTTGGGAAATTCCCATTGATAGCGTTGTATTTTACACTTTTCCCATCGCTAGCATTAAAGTTTTAAAAAATCCCAAAAGTAACTATATACTTTAAGAATTGTCTTAAACATAACGTTAGTAGCTAATTAGCAGTTAAAGGTCCATTAGTTTCTATTATTTCACTAACCAAGGTTAATTATTGGAGAATAGTTGAACAATCAGGTCTGAATTTTATAATGCAACGTATTTTGGTCTAATTATCCAACACTGATTTTGGTCTAATTATCCAACACTGATTTTGGTCTGGATCAATGTATAATCAGTGTTTATGAGTTGTATTATGGTCTAATTTTGGTCGTGCACAATGCAAACTGTTATTTATGACCTGTATTATGGTCTGAATCAGTGACGAGCGAGAACTCACAGACATGCCGCATCTATAATTTTATATGTTCTATGTACATCCACCACACTGCCTCACTGGATGAATGTGGAGAGCAGGTTGTAAGTGTTCAGAAAATGAGTCCTAGTTCACTGAGCTATTAGGAATTCCTCAATCAAGATTAGCAAATGAATTTTCGTTGTGTGAATTTTTGAAAGCCAGCAAACTGCTGTATTCAGAACTCATGATATATGCCACAATCACTATATATTAAAGCATGAACTATCATATATCAGATCAATCTTATTCTTTTTAAAATATTAAAAGAACAAGATTAAAGCATAAACTAGCATTAGCATGAACTAACTTTCATATATTACAGCATGACCTCTAATACCATTCGTAATTCTCATGGCAGATATCTGCGTAAGCATAAATGAGGCTGATAAAATAAAGCTTAAACCAAAGGTCTTAATTCTTTAAGTTTCTGATGCTATCTGACAACTAACATTCTGCATGTTCAGTAATTACATAAATAATTGAATGATAGCAACAATTAATTTTTGCTCATTTGCCAAATGAGCAGTTAATTTTTTTCTCATTTGTCAAATGAGCAAAACATTCACTTTCTCATTTGTAAAAAAAATTTCAATTTACTCATTTTATATGACTTTTCTCATTTCATATTCACTTTACTCATTTGTTATTTACTCTTTTCATTTATATTCATCTTATTTATGTATTTTTCTTTATGTATTTTTTTAGGATCGCCTTTTTCAATACAAAAGTGATCGTGCTCGAGAAATGAATAAAATGTTTTGTGAGGTTGTGGAGTTGGATTTCAGCAAAACAATCATCCCAAAGAAAGATATTGAGCTTTTCTTTTACCCAGTATTTGAAAAGGATCATTATTATCTGGTATATTTTAACACCATCACAGACTGTGGTACAATTGAGGTTATTGATTACAGTAGAGGTCCTAGAGAAAATAAGAAATTGCTTAAAAATCTGGTATGTCTTCTGCCACTTCTTCTTCATCATCAATATCCTCATTGATGCCTGTCATGTTGTTACCATATTCCTTATTCATGTCTCCTCTCATTATATCACTGGTACCCTAACCTTTTCAGGATTCTCCTCTGAATTTCTCCTTTCTCCCATAACAAGAAAATACACACACACACACACACACTCACGCACACAGACACACACACACACACACACACACATACACAGGCACACACACACACACACACATACACACACGCACACACACACACACACAGGCACACACACATACACACACGCACACACGCACACATACACACACACACGCGCACACATACACACACACACGCACACACATACACAGGCACACACACACACACACACACACACAAGCGCACATACAACCTGTAATAGAATCTGAAATCAGATTCTGAAATTAGTTTTTAGAATCAGAATTGTGTAATGTGTGGGTAGGTTTGTGTGGGTAGGTGGCAGTAATGGCTCAAGATTTTGTTAGATTATTTTAGAAAATTGATTTGAGTTTAGTTGTTTATCTTGATCTTGTTCTGCTTGTTCTAACTATATTTGTTCCACCTGTTTTGTTTCTTATTTTAACTTATTTGTTCATTTTCAGAAAAGTGCATTTTCATATTTCATGAATGGTGAAGGAAGTATACAAAGTGTTGTTTTGTCAAAACAGATCAAGTCTATGGAGTCTGTTGTGGTTGATTTACCTTGGAAGTCTTCAGATGATCATCATTTGCATTGCGGTGTTGTAATGATGAGGCATATGGAAACATATATGGGTTTGTAAAAGCGGAATTCAGGTTTAAAGAAAAATAATGTAAGTCTTTCACATTTAAAGAAAAATAATGTAAGTCTAACCAGAAAAAGTCTAATTGCAATTTTTATAATTTGCTTCTTCTGGAATGAGAAATCTGCACTTTTTAGGTTAAAATTTGTGAGCAGCTTGTTGATATACATTCATGAAGCCGTTACTTACCCTATACTTACTCTGAATTATTGCTTCATTTTTTCTCTTTGCAGGACATAATCATTGAAAAACTTTGTTTGAAGTATACCCTCTCAATTATTTCAAGTGAAGTAAATACTGTTAAACCTGTTAAACAAGTTGTCCAAAAGAAAAAAAAAAGGCTAAGGAAGCAAGTGATGCTGAAGAAAGCTAGGGGCAGCAATCCAAGAGCAATTAACAGAGAGAATTGAAGACTGAAGTTGATCAATTGTTCTTAGGATTTGTATAGTTTTTGTATAGAACAATAGAAGTGTTAGTTTTATGATGTTCTTAATAGGACAAATGTGATAAATGTTCTTAGTTGATCAAATGTTTTTATGATGTTGTTAGGATTTTCTAAGTATAACTTTTGCTATGTCAATGTAATGGATATCATTTTCTATCTTATTAATTAAGTTGTTGGTCATTTGTTAAATTGCTAATTAACTATTTGCTCATTTGACAAATAAGCAACTAACTATTTGCTCATTTGACAAATGAGCAACTAACTATTTGCTCATTTTTTAAATGAGCAAAAAATTAATTGTTCATTTGCCAAACAGTATATAATTGTTCATTTGCCAAATGACCAAATAAATATTTGCTCATTTGACAAATGAGCAACTAACTATTTGCTCATTTTCTAAATGAGCAAAGAAATGTTTCCTTATTTTTTAAATGAGTAACTAATTATTTTCTCATTTAAAAAATGAGCAAACTAATGCTTACTCATTTCACAAATGTGCAAAGAAATGGTTGTTGATTTAATGTATTATTAAAAGGAATGTTTACTCATTTGACAAATGAGCATTAACTATTTGCTCATTTCAACAAAATTAAAAACACAAAATGCTAAATCTTATATTTATATAAAAATATTAACTTTTATATTTGTATAAAAGTATCATTATACAAATATCAGCAAATATCTAGTTAATTTAGCCTCTATGACTTTGAAGATTAGGGTATGTTGGGTTGTTCTCTTTACTGAACTCATTGTATAATATCTTGGATTGGACTATTTCTGTTGCCAAGGACATTAGAATAGCTTTGGTATAATTACATGTGTGTATGATAGATAACAGAGCTTGCAAAATATTTGCTCATTTCAACAAAATTTAAAACACAAAATGCTAAATCATATATTTATATAAAAATATTAACTTTTATATTTGTATAAAAGTATCATTATACTTTGTTTGGACAATTTCTAATATCATGATGACTCAATTCACCACAACCTCTACATAATCTCTTCTTTTTCTGGTTTTGTTCTACAGCCTTTTCTTTTTCTCCCTTTAGCCTTTTTGCACTTCTACCTCTTGTTTCAACATTTGGCACATCAATCTCAGCCCCTTTCTCTTTTGAAGTCTCTACATTTGGATACATGAATTCCAGTCCCTTTATTCTTTGAAAGTTTTGGAGGTTTGACAATTATTTCGGTTGGCACACTAGCTCCAATCAATAGCTCAATGTCTTGTCCTTTGTTGTTTGCACTTCCTGTTGTTTCATTATTCCTTGCAATCCTCTTAGCTCCAAATCCTTTCTTATTCCTTGAAGATTTATCACAAGATCTTGAATATCTACATCATTGCCTTCTGCCAAACTTACACAAGTGTGTTTCTCTGACCATAAATCATTTAACAATTTTTTCTTGTCAATTAAATTAGCACATTGCTCCAATAGGTTTCCACCCAAGTCAAAAATTGGTTTTTTCAGTGCCATAGTAGTCCATCTGTGTAGCATATACTGCTCAGGAATGGTTTCAAACCTTTTTGATTTCCAAACCCAAATCATATGTCTACATGGAATTCCTTGTCTATAAAATAGCTTGCAAGAACATGTGGTGTCATAGTTAGTTGGATTAAACACAACATCAAATGTTCTAATCCAATTTCCTTCACTTACTTTTGCAACTTCCAATCCATTTTCTTTCTTCAATTCATCAACACCACAAGAAAAACAAGCAATTTCAACCTCATATTGAAATTCATAAAAGACAGAGTTAGTATATAAATGTGAGGCATGCTTTTCTATCCCTAGTGGTGTTTTGCACTCAGGAATTTGTGCTTCGAATCATTATCATTCTGACCTTGAGTGTGTCCCTGGGCATCAATTGCAGCTTTATATATCAAGTAAAACTCAACAAGTGACACATGAGGATTGATAAAGAAGCAGAAAAAAAGTTGTTTTCGCTTTCGGATCTTGATGTTGTACGCATTATTCCTCCAAGGAACACATCTCTGAAATACGCCGGAATCCAATTGTTCCTTATCTTGTACATATAACCTAACCACTCATGTTCTTCCAAGTGGTATTCAACCAACACCTTGTTCCACCTTTCTTCAAACTCAACAGGTTCAATTTCAAGATGCCAAACACAAGCACATAATTTTTTTAGGAAACCAGTTTCTTCTTGCATGATTGATTTCTCCACCTTATCTGGTAACTTTTTCATTATGTGCCACATACAGAAGCGATGTTCAGTCTTGTTAAACACACTTTTAACAGCAATTTTCATTGCTGGATCTTGATCTGTAATCATACAATTCGGTTCATTTCCACCCATTGCCTTGAGAAATGATCTGAACAACCACTCAAATGACACTATATCTTCCTTTGCTATGAAACCAGCAGCAAAAGTAATGCAGCTCTTATGATGGTCAACCCCTATAAATGGAGTAAACACCATGTTGTACCTGTTTACACATACAGATTAAATTTTAAATGATCAAATAACTACACACACACATAAATACACAGACACACGTACTTAGACACAGACACACACACGCACACACACACATACACATACATACACGCACTCACAATCTGTAATAGAATCTAAAATCAGATTATGAAATCAGAATTGTCATCAGCTACTGAAATAATTCAATGCTCATTTGACAAATGAGCAAATAATTGATTGCTCATTTGTCAAATGAGCTTATAACTCAATGCTAATTTGTGAAATAAGCAAACAATTGTTTGCTTTTTTGTCAAATGAGCAAATAATTGAATGCTCATTTCTGAAATGAGCAAATAAGTCAATGCTCATTTGTGAAATAAGCAAACAGTTATACTAAGTTCATTTAAAACAAAGTTATTAATTTAAGCTATAGTTATAACATAAAAATGAATTGTGATTTTTATGAATTACCTATTGGTTTGGTATGTGGTATCAAAGGATACCATATCACCAAATAGAGCGTAACTCTTTTTACAAAGGGGGTCATCCCATAATGCTCTACAAAGGCAATAATCTTCATCCATCTCAAAATCAAAGAAAAAAGCGCTCCACATTAGCTTTTTGTTGGTAAAGTTATCCACGAACATTTGAGCATCACTTCCTTGAATGTATGCTTTCAAATCTCTATGAATTTTTTTGAAATCTTGCTTAGATGCACCGATGTTATCATATCCTCCAACAATTTCCTTCATCATTCGAAAAGTTGTAACAGGACCAATATTCACCTATTTAAAGAACAAAACAGTTTGTCAAATGAGCAAATAATTTAATGCTCATTTTTAATATAAGCAAACAATTCAATTATTTGCTTGCTTATTTGAACAATTTAATGCTCATTTTTCAAATGATCAAACAATTTAATGCTCATTTTTCAAATAAACAAACAATTAAATGCTCATTTTTCAAATGAGCATACTACTTTTATTAGAACGTACAGAGAATTCATGAAACATAAGAAACTTTGAAATTCGTACCTTAGAATTATCCACAATTATTTTTTTGTGCAATATGTTCATTTTTCTTCCTTCTTTTTGGAAGAGATTACAACTAGGTGTATAAAGTGGATGAGTATGTCCCTCATGAAATTGTGACACTATGAATTTGTTATCATCACAATGCTTTATGACAATATGTGCCTTGCACCCAACACGAGTAACGAGTCTCTTCCTTTTGATTGAAGTTTTTTCTTCATTGCTTTCTCCTTCGTTGTTATTTAAATCTTTTTCAACAGTAGGCTTTCTTTTCTCTTTGTATCCTTCTTTATTGCATAAGATATACTGTGATTTCAATTCTTTGCTTCTTCTTTGCCTTTTAGTTGTAGACTTTCTTGTGTTGAATCCAGCAACAAACGCATATCTTTTATAAAATTCAAGGCCCTCTTCAAGATTATTAAACTTCATCCCTATAGCTGGTTTCAACTTATTGGGGAATATTGGAAGCCATTCTTTTGTTCCTCCAGGAGTGAGCAAAGGTGCTACTTTAGGAGAAACTACTATTGTAGGAGTAGTTGCCACATTTGTGATGGTACTAGAATGACTGTCAAGTTCTTCGTTGTTGCTCATCATTTCTAACATTAAATATAATAGAAATAACAGGTTAGTAACAATTCCATAAAATAGTTTAAGGAAGCTCATTAAAAATCTCATATGTGTTGCTGAATCATGTTTTTAACCATACTAATTACTACTTACAGCATAACTCTTACACTTACTCACTGATTCTGCAACTCATGTTAATGAGCTGAATCCCATTTCTCACCCTCTATCTTACACTGTACAATCACCACCACCACCAAACTCTCTCTCCTTCCTCCGCCCCTGTCTCTGTACCTTACCACCACCAATATCACCACCACAACCTGTCTCACTCTCACTCCCTTGCCGCCACCCCTGTCCCCTGCATCCTACCACCACCACCATTACCAACTTATTTTGCTCATTTGCTCCTTTTTATATTTGCTCATTTTTTTAGGATTTGCTCAATTTAATTATGTTTGCTCATTATATGTTTTTTATATTATTACAAATATTTAGGTTTGCTCATTTTCAATTCATTTGCTCATTTTAAATTTGATTGCAAATTTCCAATTTCTATCAAATTAATCAAACCTAAATTGTTGATTTAATTCAAAAAATTTCAAAGAAGTAAATTCAATCAAATCCATAATTGATGCAATTAAACAAGCAATTCAATGAGAACAGAACAAACCTCAAAAATCAAAAATTATCATGCAATTCAATAACCTGGTGATTGATGCAATTAAATATGCAAATTAATAAGAACTAAACAAACCAAAAAATAAAAAATTATCATCCAATTAACATGCAATTCAATAACCTGGCGAATTTGATTTGTAGCAGCGATTGCAATCGCGATTAGTAATATAGCGCAAGGCGAGCAAGGTCGGTGTGAACTTGCTTATGATTACTTTGATGAAGCAATTGATGAAGCAATTTGAAGCAATGAGAAACAGCGTTACTGATTAGGCGCCATTGATGAAGCTCGTGGTGGAGAGAGAAGTTAGTTAGCTAGGTGGAGAGAGATGACAGTTAGGTGTGATTTTAGGAGTTTTATGTGATTAATCACATGCGTTGGATTGAATACAATTTGATGGTTGAGATTGGTTCTCACATACAGGATGTGTTCTCATATAGAAGGTGGTTCTCACCGGATCCCGACCCTATATATATATATTTTATTTTTTATATATATATACTAACAAAGCAATTAAAACTAACTAAAAAAGCAATAAACTAAAACACACCAAAACACATGAAATAAAACAAACCAGAAAAAATAAGAAAACTCAAAGAACATACCTAAGCTACTATGCACAAACTTCCCCCAAGCTACACTCGACAATGTCCTCATTACAACAAGTGGGAAGTAGGAAATACCTGAGTCCTCAAGCGAACTCATCATCAACACCATCATCATCATCACCTCCATCGACACCATCATCATCATCATCATCACCTCCATCGACACCATCATCATCAACACCACCAGCCGCCCCACTAGTACCTGCAATGTCAGTCATATCGGGGAAAGTATACCACGAGAGGTGCTGAGCATCTCTCGGGATATGACCCTGCATGCAAAAGAAATCATATACAGGATACATAGACTGACGTAGGTCAGTCTCTAGGTTCTGGACTCGGGTGGCTAGGTTTTGCTGGTCTAACCTAATCTCCTGCTGGCCTAACCTAAGCTCCTGTATTCTAGCTATGATAGACTCACGGTCGGTAGGGATATGGGGAGCGGTGGAGGATGAGGATGCGCCGCCCTGCTCTCTCCTGTGATAGGTCCTAGTAGGTGCGGCAGGAGGAGGTGGGCCGTCAGGGGCCTCGAGTAGGTAGGAGGGCTGGTAGGGCTGGATCCTAGTAAGCTCAGGGGCAGGTAAGGTAATGGATCGCCTAGTGCTCCTGTCTAGTAGCCAGCTATAACTACCGTACTCCACCGACAACCAGCCGGTGGTGGTGAGGTAGTGCTGGTCCAAGGTAATGTGACCTGGCACAGGGCGGTTTTGGGCTTCTACAAAGCCCTCCTTAACCGCTAGGTGAGTCACTAAGCCACCTAGGAAAATGGGGATGTTGGTGCGGTCGTCATTTTCTCAACTAACTCCTTTGCATCAGTTGGATTCTTTGTCAAGAGAGAACCCCCGGACGCAGCATCAATGTAGATACGGAACTCGTGAGTTAGACCATTGTAGAAGGTTTGGATTAACATCCATTTAGGAATACCATGGTGGGGGCATTGCCTCTGCAATCGCTTGAATCTCCTCCACGCATCGTATAGGGACTCATCATCTGACTGCTTGAAGGTGGATAATTTGTTTCTCAACCTAGCAGTCTTCTCCTGTCCTAGAAACTTTATTAAGAAGGCTTTCACTAGCTTGTCCCATGTATCGAATGAGCCAGTGCCTTCCTCAGCGCCCGATCCAACCGGGCATATGGCGCCCGATCGGGCGGGAGGGACACTTCTTCGCTGGCTGCCTTGCTTTTGATTTTGTAGCTTTGAACATCTCAGCCACCACACGCCCGGTCCAACCGGGCATGGGCTGCCCGATCGGGCGCGTGGGATAAAACCATAAATCAGCTTCTTTGCTACAATATTAGCATCAACCATGAAGTCCTTCTGTGCCCGGTCTGACCGGGCTTACAATGCCTGACCGGGCACATTATAAAAAACTGCTCCTTGCTTGCAAATTCTTCTAAGACTTGGTTCTTGTTTAGCTCGGTTTTACATCCTTGTCCACTAACATCTCCAAAACGCTGAAAACGTGTCCGAATCATCCGAGAAACTCCAAGTTCCTGTAAAACTTATAAAAATACACCGAACACACTAGAGAAGAGAATGTTAGCGGAAAATAGCTCTAAAGAGCCTAAAACCATACAAGAATGTAATGAAAATTCGGGATAAATCTATGTATAAAACGTGTATATCATGAGGAAATATAAGAAGGCCTTGGGTTTTATACCATTGATGACCTCAAGGGTATAAGTCCATCCTTATGCATGCATAAGATTGATCTAGAGGGAGATGCTAGACCCGTAAGGCAAAGGCAACGAAAGCTCAATCCTTCCATAAAAGAAGTTGCACGAAAGGAGGTTTCTAAGATTCTTGAAGCGGGAATCATCTATCCAATCGCTCATAGTGATTGGGTATCTCCCGTGCAAGTTGTGCCAAAAAAGGGTGGCATGACGGTGGTGAAAAATGATCATGATCAATTAGTTCCTACCAGGCTTGTTACTGGTTGGCGTATTTGCATTGACTATCGCCAACTCAATACAAGTACTTGCAAAAATCATTTTCCATTGTCGTTCATTAACCAAATGTTGGAAAGGCTTACAAGTACTCCTTCTATTATTTCTTTGACGGTTAATCGGGATTTTTCCAAATCCCAATTGACCCCAAGGAACAAGAGAAGACGACATTCACATGTCCCTATGGTACCTTTGCGTATCGTAGGATGCCTTTTGGGCTTCGTAACGCCCCCGCAACATTTCAAAGATGTATGATCTCGATATTTAGCAACATGATTGAGGAGGAGATAGAGGTCTTCATGGATGACTTCTCTGTTGGTGGAGCCACCTATGAAGATTGTCTATATAATTTATCTCGTTGTTTGGAAAGGTGTGAGAGGACTAATCTTGTGTTGAATTGGGAAAAATGCCATTTCAGGGTAGAAAGTACAAAATTTCCCATGCCGACATTGAGGTAGATAGAGCCAAGGTGGAGGTCATTGAGAAACTCCTTCCCCCCACTAATGTGAGGGAGGTGAGGTCCTTTCATGGCCACGCCGGATCCTATCATCATTTTATAAAAGACCTTTTCTTTAATTGCCAAGCCACTCACATCTCTCTTGCAACAAGATAAAGATTTCGTTTTTGATGAATCTTGTCATGAGTCCTTTTGTAGGTTGAAGAAAGCTCTTTACACCGCTCCCATAGTCCAAGGTTCGGATTGGTCTCTACCATTTAAGTTAATGTGCGATGCAAGCGACAAGGCCATCGGATCGGTCCTAGGACAAAGAAAGGATGGGAAACTTCACGTAATACACTATTTGTCCAAGACCCTCAATGATGCTCAACGGAACTATACAACCACCGAGAAGGAGTTCTTAGTAGTTATTCACTCATTCGAGAAATTTAGGACCTACCTTATTGGTTCTAGGACAATAATGTACATCGATCATTCGTCCCTCAAATATTTGATAAGCAATAAAAAGATTGTTGAGATGGGTTTTGGTCCTTCAAGACTTTGACTATGAAATGAGAGATAAGAAGGGAGCCGAAAATGTGGTGGCGGACCACCTTTCTAGGTTAGGAGGTGCAAGAATACATGAAGATGGCTTGCCAATTGAGGATGCCTTAATATATGATGTTCTATATGCTCTTGAGGCAAAAATCGGAGTCTTGGATGCGGATATTGTGAATTACTTGGCTTGTAGAGCCATTCCTCCGAATTTCACTCCTCAACAGCGTCGAAGACTCAAGCATGAAGCAAAAAGGTACATAAAGGATGATCCCATATTGTTGAAAAGAGGGGTTGATGGTCTTCTAAGAAGATATGTTCCCAATGATGAATTTCCAAGTATTCTCTATATGTGTCACTCCTCTCCTTGTGGTGGTCACATGAGGGCTCAAAAGACCTCTTCTATGGTCTTACAATGCATGCTCTTTTGGCCCTCTCTATTCAAAGATGCTTGGCAATTTGTTAAAACTTGTGTTAGGTGCCAAAGGACGGGGAACATCTCAAGGAAAGATGAAATGCCTCAAAACCCCATCCTTGAGCTTGAAGTATTCGATGTTTGGGCAATAGATTTCATGGGTCCCTTAATTTCTTCTCATGGGAACAAATACATCTTGGTGGCCGTTGACTAAGTCTCTAAATGGGCAGAGGCCGTGGCTTCTCCTACAAATGACTCCAAGGTGGTTGTGAAGTTATTCAAGAAGGTGATCTTTTCGAGATTTGGTGTCCCTAAGGCTATCATAAGCGATGGAGGGTCGCATTTTAAGCATCACACTTTCACTAGACTTCTCGATAAGCATGGTGTATCTCA